CACTCACTCACTCACACATACACACACTTATTATTCTGTATATACAAACACACGTGAGACACTCAATAGATTGCAGAGCAGCAGTTGTCTTCACTCCCAGAGCTTCTCTCTGGCCTAAACACATAAACGACTCCAGTGTGTGTGTGTGTGTGTGTGTGTGTGAGGTGTATATGGGACGTGTGGGTGTGTGACAGGATATGTGTCAACCTCTAGTTCGCTGTAAGTCTCTGTTGTTCTCTAACTTTCTTCTACATGTTACCACATCATTAACGCCATGTTGCAAGTGATACTGTGAGATTCTGGCCAGACAGGATGTTACGATGACACAGTCTCCCACAGGTTGGAAACACGTTTGTGGTGGTGGTGAGTGAGTGGGTGGGTGGCTTAATTTTTTTTTTTTCCAACAACAATTTACAGCACATTATGGAAAATCAGTGCAGAATGACATCAAATAATCATGTTGGGGCTGACGTCAGAGTGGCTTTCTTTGTTGTCTGTGAGTGAACTCTTGCATAAAAAGCAATTTTATGCAATTCTATCAAACGATTGATCGGCTGATTGACAAAATAACTGGCAGTTTAATCGACAGTGAAAGTGCTTGCAGTCCACGCTGGTTGCAGTGTGTGGTAATGGTGGCTCAGTGGTCGTGTTGGTTTGGTGGTCTTTTACTGTAAAACATGTTATGACTTGCTTTCCTCTGTTTCAGTTGTACATTGTAAGAAGTGGTGATCTTTCCTTTCTAGCCTCTTTTCCCCCCAAACAATGTAGTTCTTTCACTGGTCATCAGAAAAACATGATGCATTTTCTGCTTGATGTGAGTTCTAAGTATCTTACACTCAGATAGAAACCTAGTGTAAGACTTGTAAGAGCTGTGGTTGTTGAATACCAGCAGAAGGATCATTTATCTCGGTTAAAATTACATGGTGTTAGTACTTCCTACATTGTGTTCATATTTTGTACTCAACTCTCTCTTCTTGTCTCTTTTTTCTTCCACTTTCTCCTTCCCCTTGTCCCTTTTTACCCTCCCTCTGTCCTCCCTTATCCTCTGTTATGTCTGCAGATTGACCTGGAGCCAGAGGGAAAGGTGTATGTTGTTATTGACCTATCAGGATCTTCCAGTGAAGGTAAGAATTCAGTGTGATATCTGTGATGCTGTAGTTTTCTTCTGTTGTTTTTTTCTGTTAATGACACAAAAGAGCTGCTGTGTAATCGTTCCAGTACAGTCTAAAGCAATAATCTATGCGTCCATGGCTGTCATGTTATTTGTCTGGATTATCCGCTGAGCACTATTAAGTGGCAGCAGGAATGTATCTTTGTGATTGTGGCTGTCACAGCTAATGTTGAAAAACGAGTTCCTCTTATTTTTACTGAAAACTTCCATTTCAATGAGCAGTGCGTGACTCGCTGAGGACCCGCGGCTCGCACGCCTGTGGTGTCCACACAGAGAGCATTGTTGCTGTGGCGCTGCTGCTGCCAGCCCAATCTTTCTACATTGAGTCTGCCTTTTAATAAATATAATACAATAAATACAGGCTGATGGGTAAGCTGATGAATCTTTGAAGACTGGGTAGAGATGGGGAGCTGAATGGGTACGCATACCAGCAGTGTGAAAGTACCGAAGGCAGAGAGAGAGAATTATATTTAAAAAGACAGCAGCGAGGCGAGGCGAGGCTAATGCTGCAGGTGCGTCGTTGTGCTATTGGACAGATGTGACCAGCTGTTCAACAGAACCAGAACAGCTGGTGTCACAATTGACAGCCCCAGATAATGGCCACAAGGAAATTACGCAAGAGCATGTGTGAGAGGAGTGAATGCAGGATGGAAAATGAAATGAGCAACAGGCCTATACGCGAAAGTCTTCCTGACTGAACTTTCGATAGAACTTCATAAGAATTTATGTGGAAGTTGTGGGTTTACCACGCTGCAGCAACGACAGCATAAAATGTGAGAATTGAAACATTATTGCATCAGATGAAACATATATGTACATATCTATAGATATATGTAAAAACTCCACAGTTTGTTTGGTTGAAATTTAGGTTAATTTTGTGGAGGAATACAATACAAACTAATTTTCCATTATTTTAGACAATTTATGAAAAAATAAACTCCATATACATACTGATACTAGTGTCTTTCAGATGAAAATGTTTGTTCAGTATTGCAGTATTGTCTTTTTTAAGTTCCTTCCATACATCAGTCAGTTCTGAAATCTCCATATCCAAAAATGTCATTTTATTACTTCAGAGTGAGCCGTTTACTTGTTCCTAACAAATCCTGTGAGCACAAACTGTAGTGAAGGTAGTATCTGTGTTAAGTATTGCGGTTTTCCCTCCAGGGAGTAAATGGTGTAACTACATTTAAAAAGGCATGTCAACGTACTATCAAATGAAGAGCCCTCTCATGACTTTATGTAAGTGGGCCTTTTACGTGTCTGAACAGGCTTAAAGAGAGGCCTGTACATATGATTGCAGTTAAACCTGCTCTACGAAATTTTAACGTAATGTTTACAGCCTTTCTGCAGTGTAAATGATGGGCAAGACTATGACAGTAAGAGCTGTTTCCGGTTGAGGGAAAATGAACTAGAGAGAATTATAAACCAGTTCTAATAAGTTTAATGGGTTTTTTCTTTGTGGGTTTTCAGTCAAATTACTTGGAAGGAAATTGTGTATCTTGGCTAATCAACCACATTCATATTGATCTACATTACAGCCATGCTAATGTTGCTTTAGATCATTTATACATTATGGTAATGTATTATTGTTGTGCTTTTAGTGGGAATTTTTATGAGAAGGAAATATGTAATAATAACAATAGATCAGTGCCTCTCAAGTAACCCACAATTTTGGTATTTCCTGCTTTCTCTGTAACACATAAAATACATGACAATACATAAATTTACTAGGGTTGACCACAAAAATTCAATGATTCGAATCATCAGTCAAGAAGAACCTGCATGGTCCTGCATGTTCTTGTCGGTTGAAACAGCTTGGCAGGCCGTAAACTTTACAAACCAAGTCTTAAAATGACCACAAACCATAGAACTAACTGTGACAGAACTGGAGAAGAGTGATAGTTGATATGTTATATTGTCAGTGAAGCCGGCTAAAACACTTTGGAACCAAGCAGTGGTACAACGTCCTCTGCCGTCCACTGTGCTATCAGCAGCCCGGCAGGAGAGACATACTGTGGTGCACTGGGACGTAGACTTTCTCTGACGGTGTGGAAATTGGATGGTGAAGAAAGGTATTAAAACCTGAGGTATCCTAAAACACGAGACTCATGTAGCCCATGTGTTTCCACTGCATGAACTGCTGATAAAGGAGTTTAGTGTGGTGCTGACCTGGAAAAAAAATGCACTAATAGCTGAATCTTGGTATTGAACAGCCAAATCCAAATCTGGTACAGCCCTAGAATTTACACATACACTCCTATATATATTTTCTGAATACAGTATTTACATTCACCTACATATATACTGTATACAATATATCAGGTACATGAGACAACTGTTCTCTCTCTGATGGCTGATGTCTCTTTGATGTGCTGTGTGTCCTGTGGATGTGTGTGTTGTCTAAAAAGCTTGTGGTTGCTCAGCAAAAGCTTTGTAAAAGTAAGTAAGTCCTTATGTGTTGAGTAACACTTCCCTGCTGCCTTTTCCTCTTTCTCAATCTTTACATCTGTTTTACATCCGTTACCCTCAAATTAATTTTACAAACACTGTGTTGCTCATACTCTCTGATATACTG